TCCATCGACGCCTCCTAGAACCTGACCACCGGCTGCAGCAGCGGCGCTGAGAGCAGTTTCAAGGTCTACTCCTAAGGGAAGGGTCGGGTTCTCTCCATCTTGATAGTTGACGAAATAAATCTCGGGATCAGCTTGTGGCTGAGCTGGTACTTCGATCACTCGTTGAGTTTGTTCTTCTTGCTTGTTGAGCACATAGACGATGTTGTTCTGCCTTGGTGGAGGAAGTACGATGGGGTCAGGTGCAGGTGCTTCCTCAGGAAGGCGCACGAACAAGATGTTGTGGTCCACTGCTGGAGGAGGAATACTAGGTGCTGGACCAACGACTCTCTCTTGTTCAGGAACATTAAAAACGTAGACCTTTCTTGTGACTTCAGGAGTTACACATGTCCCATCTACGTGAAGAACTTCTCCCTCTTGGCATCCAGTTGCACCTCCTCCATTGATGAGGACTCCACCGGTTGCTCCAGAACCGCCAGTAGTAAATCCAGGACCGGATGTAAGGCTTGCGCCAGAGGGAGTACCGATGTCGTACCCTTGAGGTGCCGCAACAGCAAAAAGAAGTGATAATATTAAACCCTGTAAAACGAAAGAAATAATAATAAATAATAAAGTTGATTTAATTTAACACAATCTCGGAAAGAATCACATGACCATATTTTTTTTTGCGTATACTACGTTTCACTCACACATCATATATATATATATATATATATATATATATATATATATATATATATATATATATATATATATATATATATATACACACACATGTATGTGTAGATATGCGTCTAACACAAGCAATCACACAAATGAAAACTTAAACTTGACAACATACGAAGAACTTCATAGTGAATTAGAGTATGCAAGAGCAAGTTACTGAACTCCTTTTATATCTGAAACCTTTCCATCGTAACCTTCAGTTTAACCTGTTCGAGCAAAACATAGTCATCCATTGTACCTAACTTTTAAGACTGTCAGATTTCTTTAAACACTTGTTTCAGCCTATATGATTACTCATTTACGCTTATAATCGTATTGCAATGGATTTTCTTAATTTCTACTGATTGTAATGCGGATCTTGCAGAATGCGATAGTTATTCTCTGAGACATAAATATACTCATCTCCTAAGCATACTTTGTATATTTAGGTGTCAATATATGCTCACATTGGGTGTTTTGGACTAAATTACTCCTACTTATCTTCCGTCTTGCAACCATAACGTACAGTTTATATAATCGACACTTGAATACTTATGTCATTATATCGTTGCCGATTATCATGATTTACGAAAGTAATATTGTTACGTCTTCACCTGATATATCTTTACAAATATATCCACATATAATACGTATCCATGTACGTGTAAGCGCACACAGAAACACAAACAAACATATACACCCTCTCTTTTTGTCTTTCTTTAATGAAATTTGGCAATGTTATGTTTAATGCATTAGTAAATTACACGTTCATTTGTTCTCAAAATAAACCCACTCTAAATGCTGACGCGTACTACCTTTTCAGATTATGCTTATATTCTCATATATTTATATATACTCATAAGAGGCTTCCTTCTTTAATATCTTTAAAATTATGTGTTCTCTATTATATATATATATATATATATATATATATATATATATATATATATATATATATATATATATTATATATATATTATATATATATGTGTGTGTGTGTGTGTGTGTGTGTGTGTGTGTGTGTGTGTGTGTGTGTGTGTGTGTGTGAGCTCGGTAAATTAAACCACATACGCGCGCGCGCCACACACACACACACGCACGCACGCGCCCACACACACACACACACACACACACACACACGCACACACACACACACACACACAGACATGTTTATATGTGTGTGTGTGTGTGTGTGTGTGTGTGTGTGTGTGTGAATGATTGATTATTTGAAAATATCTGTCTTATCAACAGTTCATTAGTGGTGAATACCTTGAGGGATTAGAATATTAAAATATTTATAAAAAATGAAAACCTGTCAACAAATAGTCTCTTATAACGAAAGATAAATGACAATAAACATTGCATTGGAAATATATGCTTGAATACTATTTTTTTTTAAGTACAAAATTATTGCATAAATGTGATCTATACATCCTTTATTAATAGGTATGGTCATCATCGGCCAGTGAGTCAATCTTATGTGCCCATTTCTCAGCCTTGATAAAGCAACTTCTACTTGTCGGTTCGGATGGATGCTGATCTTTCTATGACCCCGGTCATCTCTAATCTCTTGCAGAAGGCGAAAATAAAAGCTAGTCTACACCATGTTTTGTAGAAGAGTGTATCTCATGAATAAGCATATTTGTGTCCGTTCGGCTATATGGAATATTACTGTCTATTATTATATTGTTAAGCATTTATGCGAAGTGTGTCATATTGATTCAAAAAATGATTATTGTATATTACTCCACAAGGCAGTTTTGCGGGAGAGAGGAGCGATGAAGGATTATTATATCATATAATGGATTGGGTGGTGAGGAAACGAAGGTTTGTCCATGTTTTCTGCAATGAAGTAAATGACGAAAATCTTGTTACGCCTTCTGCCTGACTGTGAGCATCCAGGTCGATCCTATGGTAGAAGAATGAGGAATCTTGTGGAAGATCTGAATTTGAATCTCACCACGGTTCTAGGTGTTTAACCTCCCCAGTTCCCCCCCTTGGATCTTTCTATTTGAGCTGGATTTGGTCGTAATAGGGAAAAAAAGATGATATCCAAAGTTCAGGAACCTTTCAACATATTTCAAAGTACCAAGGATCAGATGCAATGTATACAGATGGTTCGGGAGTTGAAAATGGTCTTTGGAACAGTGTGCAGGAAGGGCACTGCATTTAATGGTTTTTCTCTAGCAGCGACTCTCGTAGTGCTTTCCAAGCAATTAAGGACTTAAACTCCTGACATGCAGCAGTACGGGAGGTTCAAGATTGTATGCGCATAAAAAGATAATTCTGTTTTAGGTCGCAGTGCATGTTGGAATCCATGGGAATGAGCGAGCTGAACGGAGGGCCAAGGCAGCTGTCGCTCAGCCCTGTGATGCTCGTTCTCTCCAACAAAGGGGTGTGAAATCCAGCATCAGCAGTTGTCTTCTTGATACATGGAGGAGCAATGGAAGCATACCTCTAGAAACAAACTGTCAGAGATCAGAGATGACCCAAGAGACATTTTTTGTTGACAGATATTTAAACGCTTTAAATATTTTGAATTTTAATCCCACAAGGTATTCGCTCTTATGACCTTAACTATTGACGCAGCAGATAATCTTAAATAATCAATCAATCCTGAGAGAGAGTTCACCTCCTCTCGAACCGCCCATATGTCTTCGGTTAGTGTTTAAGTTCTTGCTTTTCACAAATTATGTACATTTTAATTTATATATATGCATTTCTCATGGTAACCCTATTAATAGTTGGAATTTCTCTACAAGTGCATGAATATATATATATATATATATATATATATATATATATATATATATATATATATATATATATATATATATAGAGAGAGAGAGAGAGAGAGAGAGAGAGAGAGAGAGAGAGAGAGAGAGAGAGAGATACACATATATATACGTTTTATCGAATATTTCATCCACTTATATGAATAATGCGTGCATGTCTACATACATAAACGCGTACTTACCTTTCTACTTCTTAACTTATGTGTATTTATGAATATATATATATGCTTATGTTATTATATATATATATATATATATATATATATATATATATATATATATATAATATATATATATATATATATATATATATATATATATATATATATATATATATATATATATATATATATATTATATATATATATATATATATATATATATATATATATATATATATATATATATATACAGAGAGTACTTTATATACATGTTAAAATATACATATACACACAAGCACACACACACACACACACATATACAGTGAACCTTCGTTTTTCGCGAGGGTTACGTTCCAAAAAGAACCCGTGATAGGCGAAATCCGTGAAGTAGTAACGTTTATTTTTTTTACAATTATTATACAATGACTCTACAATGCATTGAAACCAAAGAACAAAACCTTTTTACAGGCCCAAGTATTTGTTTAACAAATAAAAGTACTGTATATATATTTTTTTTTTTTTTTTTTTTTTTTTTTTTTTTACAAATAACTACTGTACTGTAAAATAATAATTTTTTATCATCAATCATCTTCCTCTGCCTTTTAGGCCCGACCGCAAGTGCATTTGTTAGTGCAGAATGTTTTGTCGACATTATGGGTTTTAGAGAAGTTTGCAAACTTAAATTTGGCAAGCTGTTTTACGTACATGTACATATTAAACCGTAACGTTATTGACACACAGGTAGAGAAGAAGCGGAGAGACTGTTTACCCAATCAGAATGCAGAACACAATGCACAATGCAAATCCGTGAAGCAGCGAGAACGTGAAAGGTGAACCGCGTTATAGCGAGGGTTCACTGTAATATATAAATACATATATATGATGTTATATGTTCTTAAAGATAAAAAGGAAATTAGCATCATGTTATTTAATTTATTATTGTGTCTGCTATCTTATTCATACACTTATATATGTGCGTATATGTACAGAGAAAGAGAAATTTAATAATCATGTAAATCAAGATTTAATGGAAAGAGAGAGAAAAAAAATGTTTACTGTGTTTATATTTATTTCCGTAAACAGATACTGAAAACCTTAAGCAAGAAAGGGGGGCAAACTAAAGAATGATTTAGGGAGCGGTATAAAGACCTGCTGGTCTTCCTCTTGAACTTTTATGGAAACCCACCGCTTCACCATTAATTCCTCTAACAACACCGGCTCCATTAACACCACCAAATCCATTTACACCCCGAAACCATTACCTTCATGTCCTCCAGCAATTCCATCTTCGCCACCTAATCCACCAAGGCCGGGTGTTGCACCAACTCCAGCTTCTACAGCT